CCCCAAAACCCCAAAACCCCAAAACCCCAAAACCCCGAGAATGTACAGATGTGTTGAAAGCTTATCCCAAGTGAGTACTCTGCTGAATGTTTACAGTTGGGCTCAAGCTCTCGATGTTCTTGTGCTTCCTGATGTAAGCACCGATCATTGACTCAGGCCTCTGACGAACTTTACTGCTCTTGAACCTAGACAGAAGGAAGATTGGGTAAATCGAGTTGAAGGAGTTTTAATATTTTGTGATATATAGTGAAAATTACAAAAAATTCTGGAAAACTTACTTTTGCATTTCAATAAATTGCTCATATTCCTCATCCTTTTTAGGACCAACTCTCATAGAGTCTAGACATTAAGCACTTGAGTACAAAAAGTGAGGCCGATGATCATCAAGAATATAGAAGCCAACAGCAGAGCTGCATTTCTGAGGAAATGAGGTTCTTTCTTATTGCTCATCATTACGTTTACTATATTAATCAGAGCTGTTATGTATCAATTTCCAATAAGCTTGCAGATAAGCTCTTAGAAGCCAAAATAATTCAAATTGTCTCAAATATCTAAAAGTGCCTGAATTAACCGGCAGATTCTTACTTTTGCTGCCTTCTTTCTTTAACGCTTTTGGAATAGGAGAAGTCTCAATGTCATATTCCAGATCTTCCTCTTCAGCCAGGGCAAGATCCTCCTGTTGAGGTGTTTCTCGAGGGCTGATCCTCTAAAGCTAAGCCAGGTTGCTTACATCTCTTTTGGGATCTTGGCCAAACTCTTCAGTTCCATTACTGGATTGATTGGTGTTAAGCCTAAGAGTTTACTGAGTAAATTAACCTATTTGAGCTTGATTTTGTTGGCCTTTCCGAACTCATCGTACTCTAATAATGACTGGATGGCTTACTGATGTCATCCTCTGTGGTGAAATGGGACTTTCAAGCGACTGATACTAGGATTATGACTAAAATAATCAGGATTGGCCCTATTTTCTTCATCTTTTTTTTTATTAAAAATTTAACCATTTTCCACACACAGATTTTTAGGGGTTTTGGGGTTTTGGGGTTTTGGGGTTTTGGGGTTTTGGGG